ATTTATTTATTAAACATATCATTGCATAAATGAAGTAAAATATAGAAAAAATAAACTCATATGTGATTTTTTTTATTTAGAATTAACATAATGATGTCCTCATATAAAAATTAAAAATAGTGAAATAACGTTTTACAAACCCAAACAAAAATATATATAAAAAAATAAATTCCTAATAAAAAACACAAAGATTTTCTTTCATTTTAGTTTTAACGTTTTCATAAGAACATTCATAGTTGTTGGAGTCCAATACATCAATACTATTCCAAAATTCCTCTTAATTAATTTGGCAAAACGCCAATTTTATTCAAACACTTAAGAAACATCTGACCCAACATATAGTCAAATTTCATGATCGTATGATCTTTATAACAAGGTACTTCTACTAACAAAGGATAAATATCTCTATGAAATAACTAACGGTGTCACTAAAATTGCTGATATTTTTTATCAATGTATAAACTACTACATGTCTCTATCTCTAGATATATTGGTGTCTACCCCATTGATGCATCGCCCCACGAGGTGAGAATGAATTTTATCTCCAAATAAAAGTTGACTTTCCAAAATCTTGGTTACATGTATTTCTCCCGAGGTGCTAAATTATTTTTTGAAATCATCATACATTACCTGAAAGATGCTAAATTATTTTTTGAAATCATCATACATTACCTGAAAGTACCTCTAAAGTAATTGCACATATGTTCAAGTACAATACACCAATGAGATTATAAATATTTCTATAAAAAGTGACAACTTAATTCTAACATTCAAAACTGTTTTGATACTCCTACATTTCATTTTCAGTGTTATTTATCTAGAATATAGACGAACAATATAATCTATTTTTTGCAATGAGAAAACAAAACAATGAGAAAATATTGAGAAGCATATCATTTGTTAAAATATTTGACAACAGAAGAATTAGAATTCTATTATATGACGATACTCTTAGTCATTTATAAAGTTTATTATTATGGAGTCATGATTAAAATATATATCATGTATACAAATTTGTAGATTTTTTAATTATTTAAAATTGAAAACAATAATATATGGTCATTATTTATGAGAACCAATTTTTTATAGAGTCCATATATTTAAACGCTAGCAACAAAAAATTAGTAATTTTAAAAGACTTTTTGTTTGTAAATATTGGTATTCATACTTTTCTAAGAAAATTAGCATGTTTTCTTTTACTCATTGCATTACTATTATATTATTTATTTCTTATTCTATAGACAAATAATATTTTATTTGCTAAGTAACTAAAGCATATTTATACGTATTATGTTATTTTTTATATGTGTTTTATATAATGATGGTATCAAATTATCTTATTTATTAGGCTACAATTAATATAATCACATAAGATTAAATGTAATTTAATATATTTGATAAAATTGTACTTTTTATAATGTTTGATAAAATATTAATTAACTAAATAATTTTCAGAATCACTGAATACATATATGGTACCACCATTATATGGTTCATTTTGCAGCAGTAATTGACTTCACATAGCTAATGTTATTTCATTTCCTTGCTTCGCTTCATTTGTACCCTAAGGTGCATTTGCCATAGTTTCAGCATTACGACAAACTCGTGTCAAACATATATCGAATTTCACGCTCTAGCCAAAACGTGGGAACATTTAGAAGTTTACACCCATTTTTTACTTTTTTTTTTTAATATGAATTGTTTCAAATTTATGTATGGAAAACATACCACTAATTTATCTTATGTTATTTTATACTTAATAAAATTGATTTAACTATATTTGTATATTATATATTATATTATATTTAATTATAATTTTTTAATTAAATATTTACAATTCATAAATTCATTAATAATATTGTCGAGTCAACTTTTGATCATAAAATTTTTAAAAATATATTATTTTCATTGATTTTCTTATGTTGAATTAAGAAAATTTATGTTTTTTTAATTATATAAGATTTCTTATATTTTTTTATGTAGTATTTATTGAGTAATTGTGTTTATAATTTTTCTATTAAAAATATATTAAACACGTGAACTTTTTAGTTCCTATAAATTTTTTTTTTCAGAAATCACTCATTATTTTATCCCAAGATTACCTATTAATTTACCCATTGAGTTACATTTCTTACATATTCAATATTATATAATTAAAATATTTCTTTTTTTATCTTTTCAATTTGATACTTATATATTATATTAAAAAACTAATATAGTAAATAAGAAAGTTAGTTAAAATTAGAATAATAAAGATTTTTTTTTCTAATCTACATGTATAAATGTACAAATAACTATTGTCTATCACCTCAAATTTACACATAAAATTAATAAGAACAAAAAAACTAACAAGTGTTTAACAACTCAGTTCGATTACACCGATAAGTATATTTTTAGAAGGTTTATATTTAGTTATATCAATTATATTATTATTGTTTATTAGTTTGTTTTATATTTATTAGTACGTGTCACAACTTAGTTATTATTCATATTATTTTTTATATTTAATATTTTTTTAAACCTTTATTCTTGTTCTTTCACATGTTCTTAACTGTAGATTTGTCAGAAAAAACATAATATAAAGTATAGAATTTTCTCGATCATCTGCCTCATTATATATCAAATATTTGTATATCCTATATTATATTATATTTAATTACAATTTTTTAATTAATATTTTAATTAAATATTTACAATTCATAAATTCATTAATAATATTGTCGAGTCAACTTTTGTTCATAAAATTTTTAAAGATATATTATTTTCATTGATTTGTTTATGTTGAATTGAGAAAAGTTATGTTTTTTAATTACATATAGGGAGGATATAAGATTTCTTACATTTTTTTATGTAGTATTTATTGAGTAATTGTGTTAACAATTTTTCTATTAAAAATATATTAAACACGTGAAGTTTTTAGTTCCTATATTTTTTTTACATAAATCACTCATTATTTTATCCCAAGATTACCTATTAATTTACCAATTGAGTTACAATTCTTACATATTAAATATTATATAAATAAAATATTTCTTGTTTTATCTGTTCAATATGATACTTATATATTATATTAAAAAAGGTTAAAAAACTAATATAGTAAATAAAAAAGTTATTTAAAATTAGAATAATGAAGATTTTTTTTTCTAATCTACATGTATAAATGTACAAATAACTATTGTCTATCACCTCAAATTTACACATAAAATTAATAAGAACAAAAAACTAACAAGCGTTTAACAACTCAGTTCGATTACATCGATAAGTATATTTTTAGAAGGTTTCTATTTAGATATATTAATTATATTATTTTTGTTTATTAGTTTGTTTTATATTTATTAGTATGTGTCACAACTTAGTTATTATTCTTATTATTTCTTATATTTAATATTTTTTTAAAATTTTATCTTGTTCTTTCACATGTTCTTAACTGTAGATTTGTCAAAAAAGACATAATATAAAGTATAGAATTTTTTCGATCATCTGCCTCATTATATATCAAATATTTGTATATTCTATATTAAATTATATATAATTACAATTTTTAATTAATATTTTAATTAAATATTCACAATTCATAAGTTCATTAATAATATTGTCGAGTCAACTTTTGTTCATAAAATTTTTAAGAATATATTATTTTCATTGATTTGCTTATGTTGAATTGAGAAAAGTTATGTTTTTTTTAATTATATATAGGGAGGATATAAGATATGATGACATTAGTATATTACCAATTTGCCATTAAAAACATGTGAAAGTAAGGGTTTTTTAGGTAGTTCATATTTTAATTAAAAATATAAATAAACTATGATGTGTATTAATGTATTACTAATTTGCCATTAAATTTATGTCAAAGTAAGGGTTTTTAGGCATTATGAATTTTTACAAAAACACTCCTCCTTTTAAAGTAGTATAGATTTAGAATTAACGTAATGATGTCCTCAGTCCCGCTCACCTGCCCACGGTGGGCAGTGCCCACTAGTTTGTTTTATATAAAAAACGTATTTTGAGAATACGTTTTTCAATTAAATTTAATTAAAAAACGTATTCTCAGAATACGTTTTTCATATAAAACAAACTAGTGGGCACTGTCCACCGTGGGCAGGGGAATATATTTAATGATGTCCTAATATAAAAAGAGTAAAATTAACGCTTTACAACCTCCAACAAAAATATATAAAAAAAAATCTCTAATAAAAAAACACTAAGATTTTTTTTTTTCATTTTGGTTTTGACGTTGTCATTAGAAACATTCATACTCGCTGGAGTCAAATACATCAATACTATTGCAAA